AAATAAAAAAATATATGTTTTTAGATTATAACACACCCAATTTAACGACATACATCCTAAATCATTGGTATTTGATGTAGTTTATCCAAATAATAATTAATTATGTCGATATTATCCGTTTAGATTAATTGATATTTTTAGGGTAAACTACACATTTAGTCTCTAAACTATTAGTTTTAGTTCGTTTTAGTATATTAACTTTTTTTTTTTAAAATCATACCTAATGTTTAGTTTCATTTCATTCAAGTACCCGTCTTTAAAGTTTTTGTCCGTTTTAATAAACTTTAAAAAAATTCAAAACTTAATTCTAAATTTTGAACGAGGATACTAAAATGATACAAAACTAAAGTTTTAAATGACGAGTACTAAAATGAAACAAAAACTAAACTTCGGGTATGATTTTGAAAAAATCAAAAGTTTAGGGATTAAAACAGATCAAAACTGATAGTTTAAGTATTAAATATGTTATTTACCCTAATTGTTAAGTATAATAAAAGAATAGGGATTAAATATAGAAATGAAGTGAAGTGGAAGGATCCTAACTGTAGTTCGACCAGAAATAAAACCCTGGCTAAAACCCACTGTAAGCGTTGCTTAACTGCTGCAAGTCTAATCTGCTTCCCCGTTTGTTTTTCTGGTTTACACTCACTCTCGCGGCCGTTTTGATTTTGCGGCCAATTCCTCTTCAGAAAACAAGAGACCAAAAATGGCGGGGCTTGTACCTCCTGGTACTACGGCGGTTCCGGCCGATGTTTCCCACACGGCTCACACCAAACATGACGAGAAAACCGATTACATGAACCTCCCTTGCCCTATTCCTTATGAAGAACTCCACCGTGAAGCTCTCAGTCAGTTTTCTTTTCTCTCTTCATTTTGTGTATATGTGGTTTCTTTGTTGACCGTAACTGTATCTTTAGATCATCGATGCGGTTCTTTTGTTCTTTAAATAAAAAGAAGAAAAACTTAGATGTTCCTTTCTTGATCTATAGGTTTATGTGGAATTCGACGGTTCAACATAATGAATTAGAGATTGTGAAGTCACTTGAAAGGAGAGGATAGAGATTTAGCTTTTCGTTGTTGAGTCCCTTTCTTAGAACCCTAGCTGCTCTGATTAGTGACTGATGTTTTGATGATGAAGTCATTTTTTTTCTCTTAAGAAGATTGATAGGATTTTGGTTTTTAATTGATCTTAAGTGAATTTTTTTTAAAGAAATTGCTGCTTAAGGTTTGGGGTAGCAGTGTCCCTGGATTTCATAAAATGAACAAGTAGACCAGTAATAACACACCCGATTATACATTATAGTGGTTTCTTAAGCTGCTGTGTGACAAAAGCATGGCCAATGGATAGTAATGTTTGGCAATGAGGGGCAGAAATGGTTTATGAGTGATACACTACTAAGATTTTTTTAGTAAAATGTTGCTAGGTTATTGAGGTTCAAATAAGGGTTCTTTGTGTGGATCTTTATCTTAAGTTCTTTGAAATTTGATATTTCTCTAGTGGCGTATCTTCTTCGACATCTTTTACATGCTAGGTGTCCTGTTCAGTTGTGTCTTCTTATGCATATTGGGATTCTAGGGTATTATGATGCATCTTTAGCAGAGTTATAATAGAGAAAGAAGAATGTTCTCAAAAGGTGGTTCGGTTCTGTTCTTTTTGTTGAAACACTAATATTTATCGCTTGAAAAATGTTTGGCAGTGTCTTTGAAGCCTGAAACTTTTGAAGGGTTGCGATTCGATTTCACCAAAGGACTAAATCAGAAATTTTCTCTCAGTCACAGGTAGCTTCAGCTCCTTCAATATTCTATTTTATTTATTTATAATTACTACTATTTTCTTTAATCTTTTTCTCTTCTATCTTAATTGATTCTGGTATCTGTTTGTTCTCAAACATTTCTCAGTGTCTTTATGGGCCCAACAGAAATTCCTTCTCAATCTGCCGAAACCATTAAAATTCCTACTTCTCACTATGAGTTTGGTGCCAACTTCATTGACCCGAATGTAGGTGGCTTCTCTCATTATCTCTACTCTTCTAGTTCACCCTCTTGTCCTCAATTTTTTCATCCTAATAAATCAAGTTAAAAGTGGGATCAATTATGGTCTTCTAGTTGATGCTTATTGGGAGGGTGCTGACTGATGGTAGACTCAATGCAAGAGTGAAATGGGATTTGACAGACAATCTTACTGTGAAGGCTAATGCTCAGGTAAATCATGTTTTCATATATCGTTTAGTCTTTTGCTTTTCTTGTTTAGTTGCATTATATGTTTTTCTCGTGTAAACACATTGATATTTTCTTGTTTCTTGTTCCAGCTCACAAATGAGCCTCATATGTCGCATGGCATGTTCAACTTCGATTACAAGGTCTGTCACTCTTAAACTGTATTATATCTTGCCTAGTTGACTTTCAACCATGTATTTTTGTTTGTGTCATCATTGCAAGTGTCATACCTGATATTCTGATTTTTTTGAGTTTATTCATCATTATTTTTGTGCTTGTAAACAAAATTTATGTGGTGGTTTGGGCTTGCCGTCATGAAATATGAGTTTGTCTTTCGTTTTGTGACTTTTTTTTCCTTGTGAAGGGTAAAGACTTCAGGTCTCAGTTCCAAATGGGAAATGGTGCCTTATTTGGTGCTAGTTATATCCAGGTAAATAATCTGAAGCCACATTATGATTTTGAATTCAGCTTAGGAACAATTTATTGGATGATGCCTAGAAAAATCACTTTTACTATACCCAGACGCAAAATAATGTGGTATTGTGATTTCTCTTGTATTGCTATAGTTTCGGTTCTCTCAATAAAAAATGCTTTAAGATACATATACCAATATTGATGCAAGCAACCTAGATCTTCTTTATGGAAGGCCTTCTGCATTGTGCATTCTGTTTCCTGTTCTAAAGAGGCATTGCATACATTAATTGTCAATATTCTGTTGAATCTGCTACCTCTGCAGGTATGATTCTGTTTGTTGTTATTAATATACTGAATCTAAGCCAAATTTGTGCAGAGTGTGACACCACATTTTTCCTTGGGGGGTGAAGTATTTGGGCTGGTCAGCACCGAAAGTCGGGCATTGGTTATGCTGCCCGATATGAAACAGATAAGATGGTAATGTAATTTTTTCCTTTATCATTGGCTTGTCAATATTTTGTGCATTTCCAATGCTTTTCTAACTTTGTTTCTAGACATGTTACCAAACTCTCCAATAACGTTTGCCTAGTTGTTAGAATCAGGATTTCCTTTCTTTCAATGTCTTTTGGGCAAACAAAGTCATTGGAATCAATTACATGGTTTAATGTTGCTTTTCTGATGGTAAAACTGAATGTGCATTCAAACTAGTTAGTATGTTTTTCATTTTTAGCAAGTTAAACTTCAAGTGGGCATGTGTGTTACAGACACGAAAGAAGATCTTGGTTTAAGGGTTTAAGCTCCGTGAAGGTTTAAGATATTCAGAATACCTGTTGGTCAATGGATATTTGATGGCAATGCTTCTTACAAATCTGAGTTTTTATCTATAAAATACTTAATTTGCTTCTTATCCCTGCCGAGATGTGGAATTGTAATTTTAATGTAAGAAATATCATCCGCTGGCTATATGCGCATGATACCCAACGAAAGCTGTCTTTGGTTCCAGGTTGCCACAGGGCAAGTTGCAAATACTGGAATTGTTGCTTTGAGCTATGTTCAGAAGGTATCTGATAAGGTAAGACTTCTCTCTTCTAATTATATTGCAATTTGATTCCTAGTAATTCTTACCAATATTTATTTCTATCAAGGTTTCTCTTGCGTCAGATTTCATGTATAACTACTTGTCAAGAGATGCAACTGCAAGTGTCGGCTATGATTACATCCTTAGACAGGTAAACATTTGGCTGCTTCATTTTCATTAATGTTCTCTGCATGCCTGTAAATGTTAGGGTTTAGCATTTATATTGTTCTATGTATTCACCGAATTGCCTTTCTCAAAGCAGTCTTTGGTTTCCTCTAAATACTTTGGTTGGCTCTTGCATGCAGTTTTTGTCGATTTTAACTGGACCATCATTCTGGTGAATTAATTTTTTTTCCACATTTTCAGTGTCGGTTGAGGGGAAAGATCGATTCGAACGGATGCACGACTTCATATCTGGAAGAGCGATTAAATATGGGCTTAAACTTAATTCTCTCTGCAGAGGTAAGATAAAAGAGAGACGTTTTGTTTAGTCCTTTTCGTGTTTATTGAACGGAGCCTTACCGTTTTGTTTAGTCCTTTTAGTGTTTATTGACTGGAGCCTTGCCGATTTTCACCGGTGTTGTGTTTTGCAGATAGATCATAGGAAGAAAGACCACAAATTTGGATTCGGATTGACTGTGGGGTGATTCCTCCATTTAGAAATCCGGGTTGAAGATTTATGGAACAAAATCTTAATGGTTGTTACCAGGTTGATGTATTTCTGAAAATCAAATGCAGTTTGAGATTCTTATCAAAAAAAAAATGCAGTTTGAGATGTTCAATAATTTCAAAGGATTGTTGCGATCTACGATCTAATTCGAAATGTCCAATTCTAGATTGATTAAATTTTTACTTTGATTAAGCACGAGCAGTAGAGATAAATTTTTACAAGCCTGATTTGTTGTAATGTAAAATGTCATGTTTCTATAGGTAACATTGTCCGCAAGACATGTTTTAACAAAACAATCATGAGTTGTGTCAGTGACAAAGTCAATTCATACATTACCTAATAAAACAATATCTTCATATTTTGTGAGGGCTTTCAATCATGACAAACCCTAAGCTCTCCAGAAAAAATAAAAATAAATATTGTATACGAAAACTTCATAGTTACTAACTCTTTTAAAGCATACAGTTCTTGCAATAAAAGGAAGTGAATGATTGAATCCTATTGTTGTATCTATCATCTTCAAAATGGAAAATACACACAGAGGCTCAAATACAGAGTAAGCAATGCATCTAAATGATCGTTTATGGATCAAAGGACTTGCCTATCGTGAAATTTGGGCATTCAGCGGAACTCGTCGTGATATTTGTAGTCATCTTCAGCTTCACTGAAGATGGCACTATAAAATACATATGGGTTCTCTATCATCTCGATTAAGCTCAAACGACCATCTTTATCAGAATCTGCCTGCAGTGAAAAAAAAAACAATTTTTTTTAGTACACAAAAGGAAGTGTAAGAGGAACAAGGGATCTCTCCTCTTTAAAAACTCCACATCAAACCCAGATTCCGTTGTCGGCATCGTATTTTCACATGGTTCTCCTTTCTCTGTTTGTCCATCTATCCATCTAGCATCAACACATGATAACAACCTTGAGAACACCCCAGTTTTGCCACTCGAAACAATCCGGATTTAGTATATTTTACCTCAGCTCTATTCTTCCTCACCATTTTTGAAACACCAAAAATACCAAAATACCTGGCAACCTTGAAGCATCATTATGATGTCATTGGTTGCCATGTCAAAATACACCAGTCTAACACCTTCTGTCGACCCCCATGTCGCACGGGTGATCGACAAAAAAAAGTGCCACAAACACAGTCAGCATCTGATGCATTAAAATGTTCCTCTGTCCACCAGCCCATATCATAGCCAAAAGAATTGTTGTCTGGAAAAGGGAACACAGTAAATTACCACGCGGTTGTTTTGTACAACAGATCACGGACGTTTACAGTGTTTCGGCTTCATGCCTCTATTATCTCTCAATAAATCAGAAAACTAATGGGATTATATAAAGCAACTAATTTTTGAAATCCACCCATCAAACACTTCAAGCCAAATAACAATTCAGCCTTAAAAACAAACCAAAATCACAAAACTAGAAGATATAGCAAAAGCACAGAGGATTTACACCGTTAAATGAATTAAAGTTATGTAATGGCATAAACAACTAACCATTCTTCACCCAACTGGGAGGCTCATACTCTGCAAATGAAACAAACCCATCGTGGTTCTTGTCACGAGTTTCCATCTCTCTCATAGACCTGTGCAAGACTTCCTTCGCTGCTTGTTCCAGGTTCCAATCGGTCAATTCGTTCTCAGTCACCAAACCATCTGCTGGGTTGACATCAATCTGGGAAATAGCAATACCAACCTGTTCATTACATTAAACCTCCACTCGATCAAAATCAATCAAAATGTTACTCTCGATGCATCCACAAGCATATAAGCACGGGTGCCAAGTTTACATAAACATTGCATCACCATGCAAACATATACATGGTACTATCAATTCATATTAACGGTGAAATCATCGCAATTTACCCATTAAACAAGTAATTTACAAAAAGTAAAGCCTACTCATATCACACTAGTTACGATAACAAAGAAATCTAGCATGTCTTTATTAATGAATATGGCTGTCCCTTGTTCCCATATGTAATGGGGTAAGGGGATGTAAGATAGTAGGCTGCCCCCAACACTTGAGAGCAGCTTTCGTAGAAGACCTCCGAATTATGAAATGACTTTAATGAATATGAACAAATGAAAAACTTATCTGAATATAGCCATTAGCAAAAAAACTAAAAGTAAGCATCGATGTGAACAAATAAAACACAGCTTCCTCGTGAATAGTAGCAGTAATCGAGTTTTTAAGCATGTGACTTCACAAAGCATCAATTTTTAACTACAATAGGCAGCTAAAGTATTAATCGAAGCTTCAAACTTTGGAACACTTGATAACCAAAAGAAGCACCAACATGAACTTAAAAGTGAATTTTAAATGTGATACCACGGACCTGTTGGTAACGTTGAACTTCTCCTCGTCATTCAAGTAATCCTCAGCGTTCATGAAATCCTCCCACTCGGGCTGCGACTCGTGACCCGGGGCGTGGTCAACAGTAAACTCGGGATGCGTGTGCTCCAAGTACTGCTTCTCCCATTGTCGGTCTTTACGGCGGCGCTCGATGTCAGCGACGAGAGGTTCAAAAGGCACGGGCTCGTGGCGGGTGGGATTGCTGAAGCTGAAAGAAGAGCGGAGCTTTAGGCGGCGATGGCGGGTGGCCGGAGTGTTTCTTAGGGGAGTGTGAGATTAGAAAGAGCTAGAAGAGTACGGTACTGATACGATGGCTGAAACTTTTCCCATATCAGAAACCACCAAAGAGTTGATGAAAATTTGTTCTGAAAAAAGTGATCTACTTAGAAGAATCTGGAAAAAAGGGTCATAAAAATATCAGAGTTTAAGACAATGCAAACAAGAGATCCGATCTTAAAATTGAAGCAAAGAGGAGAACTTTTTAGAGAGGTTGAAAATTTTGGACAGAGAATTGACAGACGACGAGCGATGGCTTCGGTGGAAGCGTCCTCAGTGTACATTTAGCTCATCCTCATCGTATCCATACGAGATTTAGTTTTTTTTTTAATTGAAAAGAGCCTAAACACTAGGGACAAACTAAAATCAGCTGCCAGAATCATGAGTGGAAACATTTGCTTCCAGAATGACGATGTCAGCGACTTCCATTGGAGGCAGGGCATATTTGTATCAAATCAAAATGTTCCACCGGGCTAGCTTTGCAATCTATCAGCCACCTTATTGCGAGAACGTGGAATCCATCAAAGGAAACTTCCCAGTTGGAGGAGCAAAGCTTTGCAATCGCGCGAACAAGGGAGAGTTGGTTGCGTCTTGGATTTACTTCGGTTACTAGAGCGATAGCTGAGAACTGTCAGATGGATATTTAGTTAGCACATCCAATAGACTTGGCAAGGAGAAGACCCTCATAAATGCCCCAAAGCTCAGCTTGGAGCACAGTACTTGACCCAATATTTCTGCTGAAGCCAATTTCCCAGCCACCGTCGTGATACGGATAATCTCACCAATTTTTCCGGCTCCATTAACCGTTGTCATGGCACCATCCGTATTTAAACAACACCAACCCGAGGGGGTTTAGTCAGCCTTTGTCTTCAACAATCGGCTTCTGCCTTCGTGCTATACCTGCAGAATTATCATAATACTTTGCCGACTAATGCTTCGATGAAGGGTCGTACCTGACGAGTGTGGAGTACCATGAAAGATATACTCATTTCGCTGTTTCATATTTGCCAAACAGCAGCTGCAAATAAAGAAGACCAAGAGACCCCACCAGCTTTCGCAAGGTTGACTTCATAGAGATTGGTGAGTATCAGTGGCGAAGGTCCATTTAAAAAATGTTGTGAACCGATGATGGGATGAAACTAGTCCCATACCACACGAGTATATGGACAATCTCTTAATTTAATGACCAATCACATAAACCTAATCATAAATTGAAGTTTAAATAATATAATGGGGATGACATGATAATTTTAAAATTTATACAATAACACATTTAGTTTTCATATTATATATTTAATCAGATTAGTCTTAATTTAAAATATGATTAATAATTTTTAATATTTATAAATTAATCAATTTAATATTATTTAATTCTAAATAGTTTAATAAATGTAACCATCTAATAAAATAGAAATAAATATCCTCGTATTGAATTTTTTTAAAATTTAGTGACCAAAATAGAAGAGAAGAAATAGTTGAGTGATGAAATGTGTGATTTACCCATTTAATCAATAAGAATTAACATAACCTTGGTCAAAGGGTCACATTGAGTTCTTTTTTTGAGTTGGAGGGTCACATTTAATAAAAAAACCCGATAGGGGCCACATTGATTTTTTTTTTTTAAAGTTTGAGGGCCTTGAATGCCTTTTGCTGAGTTTTAAATAAAAAGAGTTAGTTTATAATAGATTTTAAATATTCCTAAATACCAAATACAAACCGGTTAGCAGGAGGATTTTTTAATGATATAAGAAATAAGCAAAAGAACTAGTTGTTTCTATTATGCATGGAGCTTCATGCATCTCCTCCTGGACATTTTGAACGCTTGCATCGGGGTTGTTCAAAAAATTTGTAATAATGCCGGTTATGATCATGCCAATCTCACCATGTTATCCGCTACCTTATTCCTCTCCTAGGTACAAAGACGTATTCCTCAATCCGATCTAACTATAATTTCACTAAGAGCTTCCTTGTTATCAGTTTCCATAATGATGGTGTTCAATCACTAATTCCAAGCAATCAATATCCTTCAAAATTGCCCTAAAGTTCTGCATCAAGAATCGAACACTTTCCAATGATTTTGGAATATCCCACGATCCATCTTCCTTCATGGTCTCGAATTACACCTCCGCAGGTCGAAAAACCTACTACGTTGCAGCAAGCACCATCTGAATTAATATTACGCCATCCTTCAGGGGGCATTGCCAAGAGAGATACAGTTTACATTGCTTTCTCTTCTAGCTTCCCAAATCGGGCTATTGGCGATGGTATTGTGCTTCTGATTGGATCCGCTGCTTTGCACTATAATGTTCTATAAACACATGATTTCATCAAATAGAATTCGATTTCGACGGTTCCATAAACACCAAATAACCGAGCCAAATAAGAGGTCCAGTCAGCGGCGTTAAGAGGAAAGTGTTGAGGTCGAGGTAAATTCTTTTCAATCCAATCTTCTAGCGACAGACTATAGAATTCTCCACCAAGTTTGTTTTAATTAAACCATTCCAAACAGTTCGAGCGGCCACGTAGTCCCGAACGATGTGTAAGTTCGACTCAATCATCCACCACAGACTACAAATGGCTATCCATCGTCATGTGTCTCCTATAACGCTCCTCATTTGATTGAAGCTTATTCCGAGCCAGTAACCATAGACACATCTTTACACGCGGAGGACCGCGATAATGCATGATTTGGTGCCAGTCTAAAACGTTTCATTCTCCATTAGAGGACCTACTCGTTGTTTATAAGCGCTCTTAACTGTGAAATGCTGTGTTTGTCCCATTTCCAGATTGGGATTTCAAATCTCCATTGTCCACTGGTGGTTGATAGCAGCAATGAAAGGATAAATCTTCTTGGGCAGTACACCATTTAGATAATTCCAATCCCAGCTTCCGTAACTATCAACCATATCTTGCACCTTATTTTGTTATTATATCCAACTATTGAGCCAGAGTAAAACTCCTTTAAAGGGCCGAGTTCTTCAATCCATGTATCATTCCAAAATTCAACAACCGAGCCATGTCTAAGACTCCAACAGAAACCCTGGCGTACCTCTTCCCAAACCAAATTCAATCCTGACCACAGACGCGAACAACCTGTGCGATAATATGTTCTGGAACAATATCAATCATCTTGTATTTGGAGCGCAGTAAATAAGGAGATAACGGGTCCCCTTGGCGGATCCCTCATGACGGCGTGAATTCTTCTGTTTTGCTTCCATTCCATAAAATTTGAGTTACGGCAGTCTGTCATAGCTTTTTCAATGTCATAAAATTTGAGTTGGCGGATCCCTCTTGACGCAATTCATTATCATTCTACGGAATCCAATCGATATACCGACATCCGAAAGAGTATCATCTATAAAACTCCACTTGAGTCTGTCATAGGCATTTTCAATGTCGATTTTAATCGTCATCCATCCAATTTTTCCCTGCTTGCGTTTCATCGAATGTACTGCTTCCTGGGCTATAATGATGTTCGAAACACTAGGTCCCGGAACAAAACACGTTTGTCTTTCTGATATCCAATCTCGTAGGAATGATTTTAATCGGTTAACCACCACCTTCGTAATTATCTTGTACAGGACAGTACTGAGATTGATGGGTCTAAAACTTGCAAAATTTTCCGGTGACAAAATCTTCGGGATAAGAACTAATAAAGTGCGATTTACTTCAGTTGGTACCGCTCCACGATCAAAGCAGTCTTGGACAAAACGAATGACAGAGTGTCCAACAACCTCCCAGTTTCGCTGGTAGAAGAACGCTTGTAATCTATCAACACCCGGCGCCTTACTCGGATTCATATCAAAAGCAGTCTTGATTTCCTATTCCGACACTTCCTTCGAAAGTACTTGTATACACTCAGTTTCCAGCCGAGGGAAATTCCACGAACAGTGTAGGTATTCTCCCCCATAATTACTGGAAAATAGCTTTGAAAAGTAAGCTACAGCCCCTTGTCGAAGTACCTGCTGGTTTGAAACCCAATTCCCCTCATCTAAACGTAAAGAAGATAGTATTTATCCTCCTTCGACTCTTCGCACACGCATGAAAGAACTGATTCTATTTATCCCCAAAGTTTTGCCCTTCTCCCAGTTTGCTTTCTGAACTTCTGTTTCCCAACTGAGTTCCTATGTGTTCCCCATAAGTGATTTCATCCAAATAAATGACGAAATAACAACATTCTAGCTGCTTGGAGAGCCACGTGAATTTCAATTCTGTCAACTTTTGTTTTCCATTTCTTTTCCTTTGTTGTTTCTTGGTTTTATTAGAATGGGAAACCTATTTAAGCCAATTTACTAACCTCGCTATTCACATCAACCTGCTTACCCCACATTTTCGGCTTTACCATGTTTTTAATCCGTCCAACCACTTCAGGAACTAATAACCTGCCCACCAAAGAGCCTGTGGTTCCTCGCCTTCATATCATAGTTATATGACAGTTATAAGCCAACTTCAATCCCCAAGATCGAAACGACTTACCCTTCAGATTACTACAAGCTCATCGGAGTTCACCCTCCCAACTCATGACTGCCCTATTAACCTGGCAAAGGCCAAGGATATCCTGCCAAACCAAGAGAGACACCTCGCACTCAAAGAATAAATGATCTCTAGTTTCCACATTCGCACATAGCCCACAACCACCAACAATGTCAAGGCCAAAGGAAATAAGCCTACTTTTGGTAGGCAACCTATCTAACACGGCCATCCAAGCAATGAGAATTTTTAGGGATACGTCCCGGATGCTAGACCAAACGCTCCCAAGGAACCTTTTCCTTCTTACTCCGAATCCCTCCCCATATCATCGAAACCGACGGAAGTCTATAACCCTGGCACCGAACCCGCCTTGTCCCTAAAATGCAACAACGAGCTCCAACTACAATGTTGAGGACAAGAGAGATTCCAAAAAGAATTGTTCTTGATAATGTAAGAATGTATCCAAGCTACCCAATCGAGCCATCCTTCAACAAAACCTTCCTAATTAGGACAAAAACACGCCTGTTCCAACATTTCAGGTCTTTGAGACTGAGCCCCCCTTCTGATATCGGATAACAAATCGAGCTCCATCCTACTCTCGCAGCCTTATAGTCTCAGTAGATTTTGTATGCGCTAAAACATATTTTGGTGTGTCAAAATCTGCACAATATCGACTCTGCGTAAATAATCAGAATACTTGAAAGTCGAGTGGCTAAAAGAGCTATGGGTGTTAAGACAGTTCTTTTCTTTTGGATGTTTTAGTATCCTGTGACGAGTTAGTATCCCTGAAGATGATGGTTTTAGAGTTTCTTCTTCTTCTTCTTCTTTATTTTGGTCTATAGTGCCTTCTCCTAGCCTAGAGGAAATGTCCATAACCAGAATCTGTAGTTTGGGGCTCATCATATTACATTTTTAAATGTATGTTTAGTCACCCTATCCCTTTATCTTGAAAACAGGTTATTTCTTCTTGTTTGGGAAATATGGGAAAGGTGACTCGCGATCATATATCGGAACTTTGTTGTCACAAGAACGCCAACACAAGTTGCAAGTCACGCACAAAAATATTTCATTCTATTGAACTCCATAAACAAAGATAGGAGGCGATCTAGCATCCATGATATTACCAGTGTTGGCAATGGAGATATTTAAGCACCCCAAGACCGATCACTGGTCAAGCAAATGGTGCAGCAGCCGGAGTTTCATCAGTAAAGTCAGCCAAACAGCCCTCTCAACATCCCTCTTCGCCCTGCTGTTGGCATGTAGGTACTCCAACTATAGGGCAACCATGGTAGGAGGTCCCCTTGTCTCTGCAGTTGGCAGGCCAGTGAATCTTCCTGCCCGAC